TCTGAGAAACTTGAAGATATGGGCGATGGAAAGAAGAAGGCTGATTGGATTAAAAGAGATGCCAAGGCTCAGAAGTGTATAGTTAGTTCTATTGAGAAGGGACCGATGTTACATATCATTAACTGTGAAAACTCAAGAGAAATGTTTTTGAAGCTGTGTAATATTTATGAAAGAGACTCAGAGCAGCAGAAGTACTCGTTATTCCAAGAATTCTTTAACCTCAGGTATGAGCCTAATTCTGATATAAGTTCTCACATAAGTAGAATTGAAAACATAGCACACAGACTAAAAACTTTAAAACAAGATATTGATGAAAAAATGATAATATCAAAAATTCTTGTCAGTCTGCCAGATAGATTTAAGTATTTTGTAACTGCCTGGGAATCAATGCCCAATGAAGAAAAGACATTGGCAAATCCAACGCGAGACTGTTAGCAGAAGAGTCAAGAAGTGAGTTAAATGAGGTAAGCCTAGAGAAAAATCTTGCATTCCAAGTTGTTTGTCACAACTGTAAAATTCCAGGCCATAAAGCAAAATACTGCAAGAAACCTACACACAATTGGGCTAACTCTGATAATGAAAGGCGATGTTTTAAATGCAATGCTGTTGGTCATCTAGCAAACACCTGTGGAAATGTAAAAAATTTTGTTAACAAGTTTGAAAAAAGAAATGTAAAGCCAAATTTATTTTGTAATATATGTAAAAAGTCAAATCATAATGAAAAAAATTGTTACTTTAGAAAAAGCCAGAACCTAAATGTCGCTAGTAAAACTGTGTCATTTTTGTCGTATGATGATGGACAAAATGTTCGGGGTAATAGTGGGACTGTAAACTTTGTATCTGAATGGGTTGTTGATTCAGGCACATCTTCACATTATAAAAAATTGTGCAGATTTGTTAAGTAATAAACAAAATATTTCTTCTGAAATATATGTTGCTAAGAAAAATCAAACCATGTTAGCTTCAACGAGTGGAACTGTAAAATCCAAAGAATGTATCCTGAATAATGTGCTATATGTTCCTGAACTCAGTGAAAACTTGTTGTCTGTTTCTGCAATAACTAATAATGGTGGTGAGGTTACTTTCTCTGAAAATACAACAGAGAATGACCAGAAAGGAGACAAAAATGAAAATGATAAGAAAGAAGACAAAAATGAAAATGACCAGAAAGAAGACGAAAATGAAAATGAAGATATTGAGAGTGCAGATAATCTAAGTGAGATAAGTAATAATGAAGTAGAGTTTGAGTTGGTTTCAGACAAAAATGAAATCAATGAAGAACAGCCAAGTTTAAGTAATACTGATACTACACAAAGCATCAAACTAAGAAGAAAAACTAAACTACCTGAAAGATATAAAGAGTTTGTGTTGTTGACATATGAAGAAGCAATCAAAGGACCAGATAAAAAAAATTGGCTACAAGCAATTGAGGATGAGAAAAGCTCCCTTATTGAGAATGAAACGTGGGAAGTGGTTGACATAAAGCAAACATTAAACAAGAAGATCCTAAGTAACAAGTGGGTATTAACAAGAAAGGATAACGGAAAATACAAAGCGAGACTAGATGTAAGAGGTTTTGCCCAAGAAAAAGGTATAGACTATGAAGAAACCTACAGCCCAGTTGTAAGTAATTCAACTTTACGTTTGTTATTTTCATTAGCTGCCAAACAAAATCTCAAACTAATGCAATTTGATGTTAAAACTGCTTTTCTCTATGGAAATTTAGATGAAGAAATTTATATGTGTGTACCTGAAGGGTTTGATCATAAAGATAAAGTTTTGAAATTAAGAAAGACTTTATATGGACTTAAACAAGCTCCACTTAAATGGAACCAGTTGTTTACAAACTGCTTACTAAAATATGGCTTAAAACAAACTCAGTCTGACCGTTGTGTTTTTACAAATGGCAGTATTCATCTTGCTATATTTGTTGATGATGGATTTCTTGCTGGTTCAGATGAAGGCGTTCCAAGAAAGGAATGGGGTCTTTAGAGCCGTAAAAACGAACGTTCCACTTTCAAACTAGATTACACAACGCAGAGACGTCAACACCAACCTTACGAACTACGTTAGGATTTTCGTGACACAAAGGCAAACCACTACTGAATCCGTGATTCACGCTTGCCTGTGTAGGAATACCTAGTTGTTCGCTCGCGAACCCACCGTACGGTCGCTGACCAGTACCGGACACCGTAGGTCGATGAATCGAATCGGTAGAGTGGGAAGTGTCGAAAGCATAGTTAACACATGGTCTGGTTAGTGTACTATACACTAACCCCTCGGAATTTTTAAAACGATCTGATTGTGTTATATCAACTGGATAACTACTAGCCTGTTTGTTGGCCTGATTGTTATCAGCGCGCATTGTTAGGCTTGATAACGAACGACAAATGTCCTCAAAGTTGGTTCCTGGAGGCAAACCAACTATCTCCCGTACTCTGTCAAGTTCCGTACTTCGTATGTCACTGTCACCCGTTTGCGAGTCGACATATCCCGTGTCGTAGCCGAGTGGAAGTGCAGATGCACCGTCCACGCTAACATTCACGTCATTACCGTACACTGCTCGGGGAATGCCATGTTTCCAAAATTTACAAAATGACTTTCGAAGTTCGTCAACTGTCCCCATATTAGCCAAACCGTATCGACTCATTTCGTAACGAAGTTCATCCTTGGTTAACGTGTGAATCCACCCAATTCGCGGGTCATCCTCTGAGGGACTCTTAGACGTCAATGTACGATCAGTCGTAGTAAATAAATTTAAAGTCGTTGGTACCATTAACTGTGACGTAGTTGTAGCTACTTGAGGCTGAGTAGCCTCTGCTGTCGTAGTGGGAAAATTTAAAGTCGATGTTCCCACTTGTGTTCGCACAGTTGGTTGTGAAATAGTTTGTGCTACTTGAGCTTGTGAAGACCCGGCAGTCGTAGTCGTAGTTTTCGCGGTCGTTTCAGTCACCGCTCTGACCATTTTAGGCGTAGTGTTCGCGCTAACACTCGAACCTACCATTTTCGCTTTTTCTTATTTTCCAAAGAAAAATCACTACAATAATCGATTCTACCGTTCGGGCGCCAATACGTGAAGTACGTTCGAATATTACGATAATAACGGAAATTCAAGGTCCTTGTTCGGGCGCCACTTTGTGAGGTGTTTATTTCGGGTAGGTTCAACCTATCCTAATCTTACCTCCGATTTGCTCGGACAACTCGAGTAGTCCAGGGTTCTCGCTAACAGTCTCCGTCGCTCGCTAACCGCTTCTCGATCTTCGTAGATGGTACCTTCGTCGTCCTACACGCACGAGTATACTATGGTTGTATGCACAACGACGCACTGACTAGGAATATATCGGCACTAAATACGATACTTCTATGTGAACTAAAATACGTGACCAGCTTCTAGTACTAACAAAAAGGTATCGCTTCTCAAATGAAAACTAAAAATAAAACTCTCGTAGTGAAATAAAATGTCGTCTTTGCGCAATAACAAAATAATGAAATGAAATACTTTTGGATAAAATAAAATAAAACCACTTTAGATAAATAAACTAAAAAGTGTAGGCTACTGTGGCACTTCAGTGCCAGCCTGAGAAATACAATACGCTAATCTCTTACAACTAAGGTGATCGTAAAGAATATTAACTTCTACTCGCCAAAGTAAAACGGGAAAATAATACTAATAATGTAAGGATACAATGCAGTACTTACGCATGTCAATACTTATTTCGCTTAATATTATCGCCTTTATTTTTGCGCTCGTTGCGTATCGCATCCACAACTTATTCTCGCAGCAGGTCCGCTATATATCTCAGGAGAGGGTGTGTAGCGAACATGCGCTCGCCGTCGACTGCCCGCTCTTGAGGGAGGTTGTTTGGCGAACAAGCGCTCGCCATCGACTGTCTCAAGAAATGTCCACTGTCCGCTGGTCTCGGCTTCTCCCAACCACGTCTACGTCAGCGCCCCGAGGTCGCAGCGGCCAAGTCACGAACTAGGAGACTTGACTTGCCGTGGACATGTTTGACATTGTTGTCGAGCGCGCTCAAACCTTCACGGCCTAAAAATAATTATTAAAACTAACCCCCCTAATAAAATTTGAGAGACGTATCTAAATCAATCAGTAGACTACTTGAGTGATATTACATGCAAGCAGACCATGGCAGGAGCGACTGTGTCTTGGGAGCAGGTAGTGCAATAAATTGAGGGTGCTTCGGTTAGGTCAAGTGTGCAACACATGAGGAGTTCACCTGTCTGTGCGAGAGTATTACTGGGAAAGGGATCGTTCTTGAATGGATCTCGGCAATAAAGTTTGAAGATGGCTCTCCACAGGCTGGTCTGTATGTCGGTAAATATGGCCTTTCTGACACCATCTGTCTGCCATGGCCTATGCCAGTAGTCTGTTAATTTCAGACAAAATTTTCTGAACTTCTTTCATATAATTCATAGGAAATAGGTCTACATCATCCTACTTTGCAACATGTCCTCAAGCTTACACTTAAGTGTGATATGAATTATTCTTAAATTAGGCATATTGGGGAAAAGAATAAGAATACAAGACCTTCAAAGTACATATAGGTCAATATTGAAAAGAAAAAGTTATGATTAACATATACAAAAAATATTTGATATTGTATTGAATATGTATTGTAAATAAAACTTTGGTTGAAAATTGTTGGGGGTTGAATCAGTCTTACTCTCTATACTTTTTTGTTTTAGAAAATTTTTAAGCCCCATATAACTAATATGGGTATGCGGTAATAAATATCGCTGAATGAAATTTATTAGCAACATGTCAATAACTAAAAATATCCATAATCAGTACTAGATTTGTGAGGGAACATGACGGAATGGAGTGCTGGTATCTCTTTTTCGGAAAGATTAAAATATTGGCATATATAGTTACTAATCACATTAAATAGATTACCTACAGTTCCGGCACCAATTTTATAGAAATAGAGCACTATCCAAAATATTCTATTTTTATCAAGTTTTAAAGATGATTTTTTTTTCAGCTGAACCTTTGATTGATGAAGTTATCAACAAGTTACCAGATTCCATCCATTTTGTGGTGGTTCATGTGGGTCAGCCAGAATAGTGAGTTTTATTTGAAGCTAATGTTTGATTCTGTAAAAGTAAAATGGAGTTTATCAAATGAACTTTCATACAAAAGCTACCATTCCTAAATAATCTAGGGCAATGAAACATGGACAGATTTATAAAAATTCCAAATTTAATTTATTACTCAATGGCAAATGAGCACATTAGTCTGTGATGTTAGAATGTTATGAGAGTCTTATTATCAAATCATCAATGAGCCTTCTATTTGAGAAAGCTGTCTTTATTCTTTAACCCTCTAAGGTGTCGCATTGACAACCTCCCAAAGTCACGATTATTTAGGCACTTTTGCCGAGTTTTATCTAAACATCCAGATACAAACTTTAACTGAAGTTATACTTAAACATTGTATATTTTCTTAAACTACATGAAATAAGCTGTCTTTAAATATATTATAGTATAATACCTTACCTTACAAGACTGAATTCCTATTTGGGTTAAAATCCAGAAGATGTTCGTAACTGAGTGATTTTTAAGCCATTGATACATAAAAAAGTAAATTATAACTTAATGTGTACAAGCTTTCCCGTCTTATTTCAAAGTGCAAAAAATTATAAAAAAGTAAACATGCAACGTGAAGTTTTGGCATTATTGAGACTTGTGGAATTTTATTAACATGTGGTTTTAACAACGAAGCAATACCGGTACCGCAAAAATACAACACATTCAGTAAAAAAATAAAAAAATAATAAAATTTATGTTTTTGTAATGGACTCTTGCATCAAGGTTCTACCTTTCCCCCAAGCATTATTGAAGTGCGAAAATACCCTTTCAACTGGTGCCGATATGCATGGCAAACAGAAAATGTATTCCAAAATCAAACCAAGATTTCAAACCACAACTTTTTTTATCGAAGAAGCAGGAGTTAACATACACAAAGTACACTAACTACCCAACTAGCGTTGCCCGTCACCGTCACTGCCACCGTGACCATGTAGGTTTGGCCTGCAGATTTAATTGGTTAGGAATCAGTGTTCTCATATTGGTTTGCGCTATTCTTAAATATGATATCAGGTCATTTAATTAAGAAAATATGAATACTATTTAAATATTGAATGTTTTAAAATTGACCACGGTAATCATTGAATTACATTCTATAATTACAAATTCATAATGTTTAACTCGTATAAATTAATATTCTACCACCTTAAAATTGTTGACTATTGATACAACTTATTTATTCTTTATATTAGGGTAGAAGGGGGGAATTGGGTATTAGGGGTAATTGGGTATGAACTTTTTTGAAATTTTTTAAAAAATACATGTCTTTTATTAGAAAGAATTAAAAAATCTGTAGTGATAGCTAGTTATGTTTTATAAACCTCAAATTTATTTTAGGTTGTTATATTGAAATTGAAACGAGTTAAAAAATAATTTGTTCACCCCTTACGTTTTTCAATTTTTAAAGTGCCTATCAAACTTGGTCCGAGTAACCTTGGAAACAATATAAAAATTTCAGTTACTGCAAAATATTTACTTTTATCTCATAAGAGCAAAGTATACATACTAATAGTAATTTTCTGAAGTTTAGGAATTTTTAAATTGACTTTTAAGTGTATTTTTTAGGGGTTGAAAATGTTAGTACCCAATTGCCCCCTCATGGGAAAATGGGTACTATATTTTTTTTTGCCTGATAACAATACATCTGTGTTTTTTTAGTTAAAATATGCTTTTAGGGGGTAGTTAAGAATTGCTTTAGGTTGGTATGACTTCTGTGCATTGAATATTAAAGAAATTATGGCTTAGTACCCAATTCCCCCGTCACATCGGCTTAGAGGCAGAAGACCATAAGAGTTTTTCAAAGTTTTGTCTTCTTATAACTTTTTTTTGTAATAAGTTAGAATAATCCAACTTGTTTTATGTTTAAGTATGTCTAAGAAGCTACAATTAATACAATTTTTATAACCCTAGGTTATAAGGATTTATTACAAAGAAATATCTTTGAAAAACTGTAAAGTTTTCAAAAAATAACTTTAACGCTTTATAAAATTGTCAAAAATAATGATAAGAGACTAAAACTTGTCTTAAAATGCTTATTTGTGTTTTCTTAATAACACCCATTTTCCCAGAATTTTTAATAGGTCATTTTAATGTATAATAGGTGTAGTACCCAATTCCCCCCTTTGGGGTAATTGGGTATGAAATATATATATATATATTTTTAATAGAACAAAACAACTTGCAGGTCTGAAAATAAGTGAAAAGATGTCTATTGGAAGCCTTTAAATGAAGGCGTAAAAGTTGTAAAGTGATGCAATTTGTTTTAGCATACAAAGTACATTTTACAAAACCTAGTACCCAATTCCCCCCTTCTACCCTATTATCTTTGTACTCCTCTTTATCCAATTGTCAATACTTTCAAGTTTTCAATCATCTAGGTTAAAATGAATGATAATATTAAATGCGGAAGAATTAAATAAGAAGAATGCGGCTGAACGCCAGCATAGGACACTGTCGTATATGCCTGAAAGCATGCGTCGTCTGCCAATCTTCCCTACTTAGTTCACAACGTACCAAAAAAATAGTCTGAACAATCCCGAGATTTTAAGACATCTGGATGGTCTTGACGAAGCACTTGTGGCAGACGACGCGGTGGCCACAGGGCGACGTCTGCATAGTGGCTTTGGCGTTGACACAGATGAGAAATAATGTGTGAATTTTTGATTTGGATGATAAAAAAAAACCTCGATCAATGAACAAAAATTGGACAGTAAATTATACTAGCAGCAAAACCCGACTTTGCTTTATTTATTTATGTTAGAGTTTGTAAAATTAATAAATAAATTAAATTTTAATTAAATTAATTAATATTGTTTGCCACAAGTGTATAGATTACAATGAATTTGGTTGAACCTTTTACAATTAAAATTACTCGAGTTCCCCTTTAATATATAATAGTTTATCTGTAAAAAAAAGATTTTGGGGGGTCACGACCCTCTTAACCCCCCCCCACCCCGGGACCGCCCTTGAATCAGAATCATAATCATTTATTGTCCTTCAGCATTACATACATGCAATAGACAGTGTCATTGTTAACATGCAAAATAAATAAAATAGATAACATACAATTAGTAATAGATAGGTTGCTTGTTCACATTCTAACTGTGGTTAAACATTCACAACTCAAGGATCAGCTATTACTTTAATTGTCATTAAAGAAGTTGATCAGTATCACTGGATCTTTGAAAATTAACTCTCTAATTGAAATGAATGAAACATAAGAGGAGTGAGGCTCTAAAGGAATTAACAGTTTTTGTCACCATTCGTCCCTTTGCTAGATCATCTATATATTAATATGCTAGCATGTTTCTTTAAAACCATTTTTCTCAGCTCGTGTGCATCTTAGGGAAAATCTGCACATACTGCTAAAAAGATATTTTCCTGTAGGTGTGCAGAATCCCTTTATAAACTAAAATAGGCTCAGAAATAAGCACAAAAAATAAATTTGAAATAAAAAAAATGTACATTGGTCTTATGGGTTGCCATGCTGGTGACAATATAACAACAAAATATAAATATAAAATCAAAACAAATGGAAGAAATTCCAATTACATGTTTTATTTACAGCGTGGGGGGAAAATAAAGAAGTCACATTACTGTAGATATTTTTGGTTGAGTTTTCAACCACTGGACGACCTCTAGTAAACTTTAAAATGATAGTACCTCAATAATTGTAAGAATTGGTTAAAAGTAGGATGGCTGAAAAAGGGTTGTTACAGGGAAAACACTTATTGTATTAAGTATACAGTAGACTCTCAATAATCCGGCAGTTATAGGACCGCCTGATTACTGGAATGTTATCAATCAAAACTCTTAAAACACTTCTCCGAAGATCGCGAGATCGGAAACCGCTAATGCCGCGATCGGGCACGACGACAATGATGTTTCCGTAATCTTGGGAGTTGTTGATAACGTCTAAACGTCCGCGGGAGATGTTAATGATTTTGCCACGATCGCGCATGATGACGTTTCCATGACCGCGGGAGTGGATGATAATGTCTACACGGCCGCGGGACATAATAAGAATTTTGCCGTGATCGCAGAAGACCTCACCCGTCAAAAGACGTCGGATTACTGAAGTGCGAGAGTGGTGCAGTGCCGGATTAGAGAGGGTCTACTGTAATACTTGGATTTTGCCTGAGTGGCAGACATCTAGCTATAAATCCTAAGTCCAATTTTTATGAGTGATTTTTGTAAGATATTGTGTCAAGTTGAGTGTTACTCCATTTATATTTGACATTTAAACATTTTTGTGTTATATTTCAGCTGGAAGGACCAAAACTGCCCCTTTCGTAAGGACAAGAAGGCCCATGTGAGCTCAATACCAACTGTCATCAGATGGGGAGGGCCGCAACGTCTGGAAGGGGCAGATTTAGAAAACCCCGATGTTATCAGTATGGCGTTTGAAGACGACTAACGACAAGACTTTTGCCATGTGATCATTCCAAATAAATATATATTTTTAGCTGTTAAAAGTATTTTTTCATATTTCATTACAGGATTTCCAAATTCAATGTAAAATATTCACAGTAAAGTTAACCAATCAGTGTGTAGAAAATCAAGGCATTGTTAAAGCAACAGGTTTAAGCAAATCTATATATTGAAGATTATTGGATTTTCTTTTCCAAGTCGGCTTGGCTCTTCTACCCGACCGATTGTCATAATTTTGGTCTGATAGTATGAACCAGATAAGTTCAAGATACTGTATTACTCAATTGAAAAACATAAATTTGATTATTTCTTGGATATGGAATATTATTTTAGATATATTTATTACTGAATTCTATCTACCGTTATCCTATATGTTTTGATCTAAGAACCTTCCGTGAAATACCAGCTTTAATTTGAGTTATTGATTATGGTATTTAAGATCAGACGTACTTAAAGCACGCTGCTGAATCACAAAAACCCAAATCCTCCAAAAATGAAGTTATTTGTCATCGATTTATTTGTTTGAACCTTAACAGTAGTCATGTTTAAAAATCAAAGAGATGATATAACAATATGATAAACCTGCTGCAGTACTCAGTAGTACTACAGTAGTTTTCGCTCAAATAGGTACCGTAGCAATAATCTTTCAACGAGTATCAGATAGGTTTGAATACCTGGATTACCCACCAGTATCTACTATAGTTTCTATTGAAGATAACCAAAGTTTAACAATTTCTCGTAAGTCAATTGCATTACTATCAAGAACCTATTTTCTCTGTTAGTTATTTCATGTGATGCTCTCTAAAGCTTACTCATAACAGCCAGGTAGATAGTCTTTATAGTTTGGTAGGATTTAAAGGTTGAGGTGTAAGACAGAACAGTGATTGATAATAGAACATTTTGTCGGGGCCTTTTCAATAATATTGTTTTCATTAAATTGGGATTACAACTTACGAAGAGAAGGCCTTTCTGGTTGACAAAAGTGTTATTTTGGGTATAAAGGTATTATTTAAACTAAGCTATTAGCTCATTAGTGATATTGCATAATTAAATGAATATCCTAAAATCTGTTTATTTTCATTCAAATATCAATTAATTGAGATGGGGACCTAGGTGCGTATTTTAATTGAAATATGAGTGAAGAATAAGTGTAGAATGGTGTGAGATGATCTGTATAGCTTCTTTGATTCGTTCCAAAATAAACCAAACATTTAACATAATGTTATGTCTGAGATAAGGTATTACTGTTGCCCTTGAATGTTATCTTTAGTAGTTGATAATGTAATATTTACATAGGGATAGAGTAGGCATCAATACAGATTTAACTGAGTTTGTATTCTGAGATTTTACAACTATTTATTAATTTAGTAACCTTGCAAATTTCTTAATTATTTTACTAATTTGCATGGACTGTACTAACAAAGAAAAATTAAACAACAATATTTTTCAATTCAAAATATGATTGTTAATTTTTAACAAAAACTTAAAAAGTCATTTTTCAAAGAAGAGTTATTTTTTAACAACAAACGGTCAATTGAATTTTGAAAGCCACTAAGCTTTTCTAGCTAGAAGGGATTTGGCGCATGCGCAGAATGTTTTGCTCCTTGAAACATCCAAGATCGTGCTGTATGGGATCCATTCGTTGAGCAACTGCTCAAATGTTTCAAGGCGCCTCGCAACATTTGCTTGATCAGTGTGCGGCGTCCCATTGAAATACATGGGGAGCTCGTACCCAGCGAAACATTTTGCCTTTCAACACTTGCTTGGTGAAATGCTGCATAGTGTGCGGCCTTATGAACTAGTGCAAAAGCTGTTTTGGTAGGCAAGGCAGGGATAGTTGTGTTTGCCACTTTTGTCTCGCTACAGCCTTGTTTTGGAGGAGGCCTTCTAGCAAACTTCACTCGTCTTTAAGTGTAGATTACATTACGATTAATATATTGAATATGGAGGTAGGAAATTAATCTTAACAAAAATCAATCTGAATTGTGTATTTCTTTGTAATAACTGTACAGTACATGTTAAACTTAATATATATTATACATAATTAAATAATTAATATATTTGGTGCTATGTTCTTACTTTATAACTACTCTACTTGAGCACAACGGAAACCTTACATAATACAGTATAACATTTATTTGCAAAATATTCTACTTTTGTATTTCTATAGAGAATGTTTTCAATTTCATGTGATTGTTTTTTTATTGTATCATTAAGCATGGTTATGAGGTATTTCGAGAGCTAAATCTAATGTAGGCATTATATTGATGAAAATCAGCCTATGCCTATGGTTTATTGATTATTTATTGCCTCTTAGAATCTTGTCATATTATATCTTAAGCTGGGTTTTCCTAGGCGCGGAGAGAGGAACGCAGAGAGCGGAAAAGAGATTAATTTGGTGTTCCGCTCCGCTTCTAGGAAAACGGTAACATTAAATTACCTAAGACAAGTGGAGTCCGCTCTCCGCGTTCCTCTCTCCGCTCTCCACTTCCGCGCCTAGGAAAACCCAGCTTAAGATGTTTCTGTGTATTAAATTTGGCCCAGCCAAATGATTGAAATTTTACTGTCCAAAGTTGATGGTATGTATCATCGTAAAACTTTAACGTTTTGTAGAAAACAAACAACTTTAGTCCTTGAATTAAATTTACAAGAGAAATCTGTTAAAAAGTGTGGATGGTTAGGAGGCAGCATTACAGTGATAATTTACTATCTCAGATTTCATTATCTTGGCTGCCTTTTATAAATTTCCTATTATTAACTGAGACCATTTAATTATAGCTTTGACTATTCCAATAGTCAATGATTACAGGTACTTAATAAATTTTTTGTATGACAAATTTAGCGACTTTTTTTTAGATAAAATTGTCATTTTGTAACATATCTATTGTGACATACCCAACATACCTACATTTGAATACCTAGTTAATTCATTTTATTATAAAATATAGGGTTTTTTTTAACGCAACCAAAATTACAAGTACTGTCAACAAAACAAGCTCATATATTGGTATCTGTTTTCTTTACTTCATTGCCAATAAGCTCCAGCTGATTTGCATTGTTGTTTAGTTATATGAGGTTTAGTGTTACTGTAGAGTTTCGGTTATTCGACCTTCCTCCGTGGCGCGATCGTCAACACATCTCGCGGTTACAACGCCAGCGTGAAGATCTCCCATGATCGCGGCGCCATAGTCATCATGTCTCATTGTCGTGACACCATCGTCAACATGTTTCGCAGTCACGGTGCCATCTTGAATGAATCCCCCGATCATGGCACTATTGTCATCATATTCCACACTCGGGGTGTGATCGTCAACATATTTCCCATTTACGCACTATCTTCAACACTCCTTGTACTCACGGCGCCATCTTCAACATCTCCTGCGATCACAACACAATTTTCAACATCTGCGATCTTTGGGATCATCACCATGTCAAGTCTTTCCGCAGTCACAACGTTAGTGTAATCGTCATTTTTATAAATGTTCGTGTTTTCCGACATTTTTGCTTATCCGACCTTGCCACGGCCGGTTTAGGTCGGATAATCAAGACTTAACTGTATTACGAATTTATTGTAAATGAGTTATGTGTTGTAGAAGATTAGGTTAAAAGTAAATCATTGGTTTTTTCCCAAGAAAGGTTTGAAATTGGTTGAAAGTATCCAGGTGTAATTTTAGTACTATATAAATAAACTGTTAATAGACTTGTCAAACATATAAGGAAACCGGATCGGTAGGAAAAAACAAAAAAATTACCTACAACACATATTTTATTTGAGCTTGAGAAAACACAAAGTTTTGTCTTACTTACAATAACACTAAACCTCCTTTCTTATACTCCTTCCCTCTTACACTCCCTTCACAATATTTAGGCGGTTTGAGAGGAAGTTCCTCCACCACCTTTTTAGCGAATTTCCCTATAGGGAAGTAGCTATTACCGTAGGTGGCACGGTAAGACCTAGGCCCGGGACTGATTTACTTTATAGTTTTGATGTCCCCAGAGGCCAAAAACACCATTCGTTCAAATTTATATGTATATGTTTCCTTGAACGTGATAAACTTGAGTAATTTTTGTCCGATTTTGATGAAATTTGGTTTAAAGGTGTAAGGCGGATAAACATGTATGCAGCAATCCTAGGTACTCGTTAAACCTAATGTAATTTAAATAAATTTAATTGAAAATCAATTCAGACAAATGGAAATTCGCTTAGTCAGCAAGTTTGCTGCGGCGGAGGTGTTTTGTATTCAATGTATGTTGAGCTATTATTTTGAAGGTAAGGGTCAAGTGGAGGGAATAGATTTCTTCCCCTTAAACCGCCTAAATATTGTGAATGAAGTATACTTATTTACAAAATGTATAAATAAGTATGAAATGCACATTATTTGATTAGAAATGAAGTAAAGGAGACAAGGATACCAATATATGAGCTGGTTTTGTCGTTAAATAGTATCTCACAGTACTCGTAATTTGGGTTGCATTATAAAAAACACACACTATTTGATTTTATAAGTATTTCAGACTTGTTTCAAATAGGACAGCCTACACAATTTTGAGGAAAACACATTTAAAATAAATAATTGCTTTTTAAATTGAAATGTAATTATAGCAATGGGTTGCTAAAATAAGGGGTAACACATTTAATTCTGCCTTGGCAAATAGGTCATAATATTGTAGTCTTTTTTTGGAAAAAAATGGACACTTGAGTGTATGAACCTCTTATAGGCTTCACCACAATTCTAAGACTGCCTCTAAATGCTGGTGGTAAGAAGACACAGACGGATTTGTGCTGTTGTACGATGAGGAATGGGTGAAAACGTAGAATCTAACTGTAGGTAAATGCTATTCTTCTGCCGTATCATCTTCTGGATCCCCCGGAGGTATCACAGAAATAGAGTAATGGACTTTCTTGTTGCGGAGGTAACTGTACGAGTTGTCAAAGATGACTGTGTCTGAAACAATAAAAACAAGATTAGACCCTATGCTATTATAAAGGTTAGGTTAACTACAGTACCATGCAAAATCAGTGAATAAGAATTATGAGCGTTGAATTAATGAGATGACAGCTTTGTTACTGACTGAGATTAACTAACTGACTCTTCAACTGATCCGTCAAAAGGGCTCCGCCCCAGAGGGTTTTAAGTGGGCCAATGTCAGACTTTTTGAGCTACAATGTTTACAAATAAATATAACTAGCAGTTACCCAGCGCGCGTTGCTGTGCTAACAAAATACATCTGTCTGTGTGAAAAGCTTGTTTTTTCTACATTTAAACCGACGATAGTCAGGGATTGCCCTAGAGCCTTATAATGGTGATTGCAAAAGCAAGACACTAAGGAAATTGTATTTGCTTAAATTCAGAGGGCAATTCGGATGAAATCAGTATTCTTGGGATTAAGACTATTTCTCCTTTAAACCTACAACTGATAATTTTTGCTTTAATCAATTTTGACGTCATTTTTTTTATCGTTAGTCTGGTAACGTTGCACAGATTCAGTGGATTTAAGTTTCGCATTATCATTGGAGTTCTTTCTTTTAAAGACAGTAATGTGGTGGGTTAATGACAAATTGAGAGGCATTTGAATACCCGAGATAGCAAGCACGATTATTATAGTAACTGAGTAAGTCGTCTGCTACTTTGTATTGCAGTCAGGATTTGTGAAGTTTTTAAAGTTTCATTTTGGTGGTTTAGACCTTTTGAAAGTGTTTAAAATCTATGTAAAAGATGTTTGGTAATGTATTTGAATATATCTATAAAAGACTAAATATGGCCCTATTATCAAAAATATTTATCAAAAGTGGAAAACTAAAACTCACACTTTTTATTGCTGGAAACCACATGTTTCAGTGCTGAAAGTTTATAACCATAACACTTTATTTGATACACTACAGTAATAAAAACTAATTTAAAACGTTAGGTCTCTCTTCAATAATTATATTACTACAAAGTTTAATCACACTCACTGAAATACAAATTTTACTTTTTGTTAACTGAGAGACAGGAAATAGAACTGGTTTGACTCTGGATGTGACTACTTCATGTTTCAACAAATTATCATGTAGAGCTCCCACCCCACCCCCACCCATCGCTGAAAACTCAAGCTCCATCAGTGAACTATGTACCCACATTGGCTGCTTGTCAAACCACCTGTCAACCTTCTGTTTACAAACAAACTGATTAAGCAGCATTGTTAATGCCATAACATTGTTATCTCTATACTACAGTCACTAGGATATTATTATTGATGCCCTTATTTTAATCAAATAGTTGTAGGGTTGACTGTTTCGCAATATTTATTTGTATTTGTATATATAATGTAGATAAAATTGTCTGTTTTCTATTGTGTTTAAATCAAATCATAGATGTAAATAATTTAGTACCTTCCCGTATGGGGAAGGAAAGAAGTCATTAGAAAAAAAAAGGTTTAAGTGCAGGAAAAATTGATGTGTACATTACATCGCCAAAGGGAAAAGTTTTTAGATCTAAAATGGAGCTACAGAAATACATTTCTGAGAACAAGTTATCCCTGACTATTGACAATTTTAACTTTCCTACATCAAAAAGCAGTCAAGCAGGAAATACAGAGGTTTGCAGCATAGAATATCATGATTCTCCACACAGCTTAGGTCCTGAGTCAAGTTTGTCAATTTTCCCTGATTCATTGATTAGTAACTTTGATTTACCAACAGAAAAGACAAATGAAACAATTCAAAATATTCAAAATGTCAAAATACCAGACACTTCCAAAGAACATAATATTAGGTTAGCTTGCTCGTTGTTAGGAGGAAATTGGGTAACAGATGACTCAATTCGATACTATTTTGAGATGATGGATACCATAGTTAGCAGTAAACATCAGACAGTATTGTTGATGAACCCTGTAATTAGTCAGGCAATCAAATGTTTAGCTGACTATAAAACACTTTTAACACCATTAGATCCAAAGAATAATCTATTATATCCTGTACATACAATCAGCTGATAATATTAAATTAAATGTTCTTTGTTTATTATGAATGCAAAACAAACAAAATAAGACTTCAGTTAGAGTTCCTACATCTTTACATTATGAACCTTGTTAAGCTTGTTAATAAATAACTGTTCTTAAAGTTGGTGTTTAATATACAATAATGGCGACGACTCAAAGAGAAATAAATCAAGCATTACTGTTATTTCTACAAGAGAAGTTTAGTGAAGAAAAGGAACAAAAGATTCGTCCCCCACTTCAAAAGTTGGAGCCTTATGATGAATGTAATGAAACATTTACAACCTACTTACTTAGGCTCACTAACTATCTTGAATTGAATGGATTAGGGGGGGAGGATGATGACAAAACACGCGTGCAGGTGTTAATTAGCTGCCTTAGTCCAAAGAATTTTCAACTCTTAAATGATTTATGCGCCCCAGACTTACCAAATACTAAATCGTATAATGAACTGGTCAAGCTACTCAAAGATTACCTTTGTCCAACACCAAATGAAGTTGCTGAACAACATAAGTTTTACATGCGTTCACAACAATCGGGTGAATCTATTTCCACATACATGAAAGAACTTCGTAGCATGACTCTACACTGTAATTTTTCCTGTTCAAAGTGCAAATCCAGTACGATTGACACCCACTTACGCACCCAGTTCATTAGAGGTTTGTACAGCAAAGAGATAGGAGAAAGGCTTCTACAAGAAGATTCCTTGACTTTACAAAGAGCGTATGAGTTAGCTATCTTTCGAGATATCGAAACAAGGTAACAATGATATGACATCACCAGCTATTGTAAATAAAATCAGTAAAACCATAAAAAAACCATCAAAATCCAACAGCTTTGTATCAATAGATGATTTGAAAGGCAAGTGTTTTAGGTGTGGTAAATCTAACCATAAAGCAAATGAATGCAAGCTACGCAATGCCACTTGTTTTACATGCAATGGTAAGGGTCATACTGCTGCTGTTTGTTTGAAGGCGAGTAAAATGAACAAAGGTAAGGCATTTCAAAAACAAATTGACTCTACGGATAAAGATTATTCCAGTGAAAATGAAGAAACATATGGTACAAGTAATTCTTTCACTATCACTGAAGAGCTACCTACAACTCAATTCTTTGTCATCCAAATTCAATGACAAATACTTAGTAACACCGCTTCTAGATGGAGTACAATGCTCAATGGAGTATGATACGGGAGCTGCTGTATCATCTATGTCATTAAATACCTTCAAACGATTATTCCCACACAAGAAAATTACAGAAGTCCCAAATGTTAAGCTAAAAACCTACTCAGGGGAATCGATTAAGTTAGGCTAACTGGAACAAGTGAAGTTAAAGTGAAGTTAGGTTCAAAAACAATGAAAGGTAGAATTTTTGTTGTACAAAATAATGTTGATAATATATTTGGGCGCGAATGGATTCGTAACTTTGACATATCTATTCATGACGTAAATCACATGGCGAGTCCTAGTTCTTACAAGCAAAACACCATAAAGGAAAATAATATAAAACAAGACATTTTTGACACATATGAATCCCTATTTTCAAAAGAAGTAGGAATTGCACCAGATAAACAAGTCAATCTTCCATTAAAGCCTGATTCAAGACCCATTTTTATTAAATACCGTGTCCCTCCTGTTGCATTAAAAACTAAAATAGAAGACGAATTGTGCTTACTGGAAGAAAAGGGCATCATTTCAAAGGTAACCAATTCAGAATGGGGAACACCCATTATATTGAAAGAAGATGGAACAGTAAGAATATGTGCTGATTATAAAGTAACTGTAAATTCCCAACTGCAAAATGATCACTATCCTATTCCCAGGATTGAAGAGATATTTGACAAGTTAAATGGAGGACAATACTTTACAACCTTGGACTTACATAAGGCGTATTTACACCAAATGGATGATAGTGCCAACCTTCAAGCCATAAGTACCCATATGGGAGTTTTTAAGGTAAATAGACTTATGTTTGGAATAAAAACAGCTCCAAACATATGGCAACGCTACATGGACTCAGTTTTAACTGGACTGGAAGGTACTGCTGTTTTCTTTGATGATATAATAGTTCAAGGAAGGAGTATTGAAGAAACAAAACTACGCACGATCAAGGTTTTGGAATGTTTGAAGGAAAACAACTTGCACATAAACAAGAATAAAAGTAAATTTTTTCAAGAGTCTGTGAACTACTTAGGATACAAAATTGATGGAAAAGGATTGCATAAGAGCCATGATAAGATAGAAGCTGTTTTGAAATGTCCCATACCCACTAACGTTACTGAATTGAAGCAGTTTCTTGGGCTTGTAAACTATTATCACAGGTTTCTACCCAACCTCGCAACTAAGATACATCCATTATATAAAGTTGGTATACAATGCACTAATGACATCCTCTTACATTACGAAGCCTGAACAATACAAAGGTTTAGAGGGAGAACTGTCAATTGAAAACGGATGTTTATTTAGAGGAGTTCGAGTTGTAATTCCATGTGCTTTACGAAAAACTATTCTGAAAGAACTACATGAAGCTCACACAGGCATAACAAAAATGAAAGAACTAGCCAGGCAGTATTGTTGGTGGCCTACAGTGAATTCTGACATAGAAAACTATGAAAATTCATGTAAACCATGTGCATTCAATAAAAACGATCCTCCAAAGTACCATGAACCATGGCCAAACTCCAATATTCCTTGGGAAAGGGTGCACATAGATCATGCAGGACCATTCAGAGGTACATACTTTTTCATAGCAGTAGATTCATATACAAAGTGGTTGGAGGTAAAGGAAACAAAAAGCATATCTAGTTTCTCTTCTATAAGAATCTTAAGAAAAATGTTTGCAAGATTCGGCATTCCAAGTACAATTGTTAGTGATAATGGTCCTGCTTTCATTTCACATGAATTTAAACATTTTATGGAATCCAATGGTATTCAACATAAACTGATGGCACCATATCACCCAGCTTCAA